TAATCTAACCTAAACTAACCTAACCTAACCTAACCTAATCTAACCTAATCTAACCTAATCTAACCTAACCTAACCTAATCTAACCTAAACTAACCCAACCTAATCTAATTCTGATTTTAATCCAATAACCAAATGTTAACTCTCAAAAAGCCCATTGGAGTTGTGAGAATGTCCTCACAATAATTTTGAACCTGAATTTGTCCTCAGGATCATATAGTAAGACATATAGGCACACCCACACACACAAACACACTGTAAGAAAGCATCGGCCCTCAAACAGCATAAACCTGCAACAAAGTAACCTGCTCCATAAATGATTAGTTGCTAAATAAATACATATGAATATGTGCTTTACTTCTGTCCTTGAACATGAGTTGTGTGTTAGTAAATCATTTTCAGAACTATTATATTTAGTCATATAGCTGTAAATAATTAGACACACACCGATATCATGTTACCATGGCGCTGTGGCTGGACAGACCTGTCTGACAGGCAGATGAGAACAGAGCGTCGAGCAGCAGGTCACATGTTTCCGTGTTCTATGAAGTCATCGTTCTGTCAATATTTGCAATGGTAATACCACTGTAAATATGTAATGCGGCCTGTCAGCTGTGAGGCCGCTCACATCTTCTTCAGATTATTCAGATGATTTACAGAGGAATAATCTGCAGATTATTTTCTGAAGTCATCATTTGATCGTGAAAATGTCAAAAAAGTTAAACTTTCAGGGCAAATCTTCAAAAGTAATTAATTGTATAATGATCAAACCATGAAATTGTTGTTGTTTGATTATTCTGTGTAGTGTATCTAGTGTGAAATATGTAAAACAGAAAAAGAATCCTGAAAATACAAATCCTAAAAGGTATATTATCCAAACCTTGTCTATCACTCTTATTATTGATATTAAGCTATTGTTTGACATACTTGTGACCACCTCCAAGTCATGTTTTCAGCCTTCAGACAATTAAATAAAATAAAGATCTAAATTTACAAGCCAAAAAATATGTATTTTTGACTGAATTTATTTTCCATAACATGTTTGTTGAACAGAGATAATTTTCTTAGGAAAAGTATCTGCAAGAGCTGGATTTTGTGAATAAGCAGAAGGAGGAAAAACACACTCATGACTGAAATTGTAATTTACAGCCATGGAGTTTTCCTGCTCGACACTATGTTGTCATCTTTGCCAAATCAGTACTGAGGTTTGAAGTGATCAAATATCTGTTTAGGTCACACTCACATTAAACAATCAGCAGCACGTCACATGTTTCAGTAAAGCCATCATTCTGCCAATATTTGCCATGGTAATACCACAGCAAATACTGTAGCCTACGTAATGGTGCTCGTCAGGCTGCGAGGCTTTGGAGTCAAAGAGGGTGGGTGACTGGTTTACTGAAAACAACCCAGTGTTTTTTTTGAAAACCCTGACTATGGTACAGGTAGGTCAGGAAAAAAGAAAGTGCAAAGTAGGAGAGAGTGTCTCTATTTCAGGTAAATACAATTGCTGATAAGGCAAGTGTGTGTGAAAGCTTGTTTGTCTATACACCAACAAGTGACATGGAGATTTTATTTGGAGTTTGAACACAGAGCCTTTTCGGCTCTATTGGCCAGAAAGAAAACCCCAGGAACAAGTGATACAGGAAATCCTTCATACTTTGTCTAATCTTTACCTACTGCTGACACAGTGATGTCAACCATTTAGCCTGAAGTGCAACATTCCACGTCACTGACTGACTGCGCTCTGAGGGCAGGTGAAGCCAGTTTTTTTTCCCCAGGAACATGGGCAAGACTGTGTCAACTGTTGTGATGAGGCAGCATCAATGATTTATTTATTACTTGTTCTTACTTCCCAGGCCAATCGCCATTGGTTAAATGTTATGATGTGTGTGAACCAAACTGAAAGACCAAGTGGCTGAAATATTTTGAAACTAAAGTGATGATATTCACACAAACGTACAACATGTCACCGGTGTCAGGTCTTGTTTACGAGCTGGTCAGGAGCTCTTCTAAAGCCACTCCTCCGTGCACAGTTTGCATATGAGCCTTCATCCCTTCGGGACTATCTCCTGCTCAACACATGGTAACACAACAGGTGCTGTGTAGCCAGAGCTGTGCAGCAGTGTATACTTTGTGTTCATCTATAGTGGACATGTCTGAAACATCACAAAGCCAGTGTGTTTCAGTTTTATTTAAGTGTTGTCAGTGTAAAGAGTTGTAAGTCGTGTCAGACTACATGTTGGCTCACGTGTGTGTGTAGATTGTTGCCATAGTTGTGACCCCTGGGGAGGTCATTAGCTGATGTACCTTTAAGTTTAGCGCTGTACTCCGTCTTGTCAGACTGACTCCTCCTCACCAGCGTCCCCAGGTTGAAGTCACCTTTGGCCATTTCATCAGCCACTATGGTGTCCGTCTTTCTCCTCTCCAGGTAACGCAGGAACACGGGCCGGTTCCTCCTCTTTATCACCTTCTCTTTTTCTTTCTCCTTCTCACCCCCAATGGCCTCCTTGGGATCCATGGTGAGGCTGTCAGCCACCCTATGCCTCCAGACCAGTCAAGGAGAAGAGAAGGGGGGAAGAGAAGAGGGGACAGGAGAAAGAAGGGAGAGAGAGGGAGAGAAAAAAGAGCCTGGGAGGTGCAACAGGTGTAATGTTCACTGTGCACTGCTGCCTGCTCTGCACAGGTAATGTAGCTCCTCCCTGTGTCGACCTGTCATAAGAGCTATAGTGGCCCCACCTCTCCTCTGCTGTGCTATGCTGCTTCCCTGAAGACCATTATTTCCACCCAGGGAGAGAAAGTGCGTCTCCTCACTTTCTCCTCAGCTCTGCTGACGGAGCAACGGCCACAGGCTGAAGTCTTGTTTTTGCTTTAACTAAAGATTTAATGTCCTCAGAATGAAATGAACGTCATCTCTCACAAAGACACAGAAAACAAGGAAGTATTCATGTAAATGTACTGGGTACTGGAAATCACAATTGTTGTTCCAATCACACAGTGAGGAACATCGTACATTTACAAATCAAATAATCTATGTCTATGATGCATTTTAAACTCAAGCCAAGTCAAGCTGTAAGTTGTTGAGCTAATTTTAGCTTCAGTATATGGATTAAACAAATCTCTGAAACAAATAAATGAATGAATAAACGTTTAAAACTGGCAGGGAATTACAACAGTTTTCACTTTAATGATCATCAGAGTTGGGTGTATGATTATTTCACGTTATAATTCCTAAATAATGGATTGTGTTTGTGGGTTGTGTTGTGTTTCATTTTTGAATACTCCTCAAATTGTTATACACAGGCTGTGTTTCCTTTTACAAAAACATCTTTCTAGTAATAACCCATAAAGTGGCACTCATAAAATGCCCAAACTAGTTTGACAGGTAAGTCACTGACACATGATGATTGCTGGTCATAGCAACCAGATACTGTGAGTCCTTGTCAGAGTAAATGAATGGATGCATTTCCGCCCTATTGAAGCTCAGGTCATGAGGGCTCACAGTGTGTTCTCAGATCCCTGTGTAGTGTGCTCACACAGCACACCTGTTTAACTTCTATTAGACTGGATGCACACGTATGTCTCACAACAACACAACAGCTGCTCTACACAAGACTATATGTCACATAAGCAACATCATGTGTGCATATGTGCATTCAATAAAAATCTACTCTACGTGTTATTATTGCTTTGAAATGTTCATTTTCTTCTAAAAAAAATACAGTTAACTTGTATTAAAATACAACTGACCCTGTTAGCAGCATTATGTAAGTGGATGTAGTAACACAGACACTGAAGAATCACATATTCTGTACAAACATGCAGGAGGATAAACATCATCTTGTGTGCGCTGTCAGCGTGGCAGCGGGAATTGTTTTGCCCTGACGACGCTTATGTGACATCATGTCACTTGGGGTGTGGCTCTTCCTGACCTCAACGTGTACACTTTTAAATTCATTTACATAATAGACAACGTTTTGCTGCTTTTCCTGACTAAAGAATACATTTCCATAAAATATCAGAAAAGTAAAAAAAAAAAAAGTCGGAAATAGAGAATATTTTTTCATATGTACACTTGTTATATACATATTCAGATTCTATGTGTGTATATATACATATATATATATATATATATATATATATATATATATATATTAGATTTCATCTGATGCACTTATTGTGAAAACAAATATTATCGTGATAAGCTGCTCTTTGACAATGATTGAGTGAAAAGAATAATCTTAGAAAAAATACCCAGCTAAACCTAAGATCTTTGTGAAGATAAAAAAAACAAAACAAGGCAAACCTTATTTCCTCAGGGAAAATTGCTGCAGGAGTCAAAGTAGTGAATAATAATAATATACATAATTAACTTTATTTATATAGCACTTTTCTTTACAAAGTTCTGAAGTGCTTAACAGACAGAATAAGTGAAATCGGAAAGAAGAGCAATTAAAACTAGAGAAAGATAAACAATCTATAAAACAGGGTTGAGTAAAGAAACTATACTTAAGAGTGTTACGTGTCACATGGTGAACACCAGTGAACAAATCTGAGTGCTTTACCCTTTGACAATAACTAAAGAGAAGGACTCTGACTTTCATTCAAGACAACCTAATCTCTAAACATTAAGCCACTGCAGACCAGCACCACTGGTTTGTAGCACGACATACTGTATGTTCTTGCTTATAACTTGTACCTTAAAGCTAATACAAATAGAGTTCATAGGATTCTGTGCTTCACAAATTCAAAGCAACTATGGCAACCATATCAAAGGCAAGTATGCACTTTTTGTATTTTTATAACCATTTTTATTGCTGCTCTTATGTGTCATTTGTTTGCACAGAGGCCAACCTACAGATCAGTTAATGAGACACATCGAGGTGGCTGGGGTGTGTGTGTTTGTTCATGGTACATGGCCACGCACATACTTTGTTCTGGTGATGTATTTGCTAAGATGTCTATCATCAAATCCGTTTAGTCCAGGTTGTAAAAATAAAAGAAAGGGGTCAATAAAGCAAAAGTAACATTTCATTTCTGGAAGTTTCAAAATCAATAACAAAGCGGCTCTATTCTCCAGTCACTATGGAAAACTCAATTTATCAAACTTAGTTTAAGTTTAATTGAACAAATAATAGATCACATGAAACTCCTGCATGCTTTCCTTCCTCTTCAACTTATTTTTGTTTATATTGCAGCTGGAAAGTCAATGATTGGGATAAATGGGTTTTCCTGGTCAGTTACAGCCTAAATCGGAGATAAACTAGGTGGCAGCAGAATGAAGCTACTACTTGGATTACAGGCATGCAAAAGAAGTATTGTCAAGTATGAATGGGAACATTACTGACTTCCTGTTATATCAGTGCCATATCAAAATAAAGGCACCATTTTAATTATTATAAAACTCAGAAGAATGAATAAATATGTATGAATTAATATGTGATAAGCACAATATAAAATGTGCTACTTATGTTTGGGTGACCACACCTCTCCTCTCTCCATATGATAAGAACAAATACTAAACTTATTTAAATAAATGGACATACTGTATATTTTACCTCAGACATTCAGGATCATGCACAAAGAACCCTTGTCATTCTAGCTACACCAGGAGTTTTCTGAATTTGTCACATAATCAGATTTGTAAACAATATAATGTAACAGATAATAGCTTTTTTAGCACTATTAGATTTCCATTTTCACCTAAATTGATTGAATTACCATAAAATGACCTTAATGCCTGTGTCACTTGAAGCCTGAACCTTCATCTGTTTCTCTGACAACTTTGATTTGTCTTCCATTGATTTTAATTCTCTCACTACTTGATATTTCTATCTACACTTGTATGATTGAAAGCACTTGGCTTGACTCCTGAACTTAATATACAGTCTATGCTCCTGACTTAACTTTTAAATATGTCATATAAATAAATGTCCCTTCACAAAAACAATTTTACCACAATCTGTTTTTTTCCCACTGTGTCTTGAAAAATTTTAGTTATCTTTTTTTTTATATATATATATTTTCGACTGCACATGCTTTTATTTTGAAACTCACCGAGCGGATGTTTCTGCTCCTCGATGGTGGATGTGGCGGAGGTGGATGACGGGAAGGAGGAACCGGAGGAGGAAGAAGTGTGTGTGTGATGACGCCTCCGCTGGTTCGCTCCTCTCTCGGCCTCCTGCTGAAAGTCACCGGCTCGTTGTCTGCCTCCAGAATCAAACTCGTCGCACAAGCAGCAGCTCTTCCTCATCTCCGTGGGAGAACCATGCACTACCTCACGGAGGAGAGAGGACGACCTCATTCTCCTGACTACCGGATCTATTTTAGTAAGTTAAACCAGCGTGAGTACCGGAGGGGCCTCATGTGTTCACGGGTTTAACGGAGCCGTGCTCTGGCTCTCAGGCTACCGGAGGCACCGGACAGGTGCCCTCGCCTGACCTTTGAACTGCAGGTGATGTGGTGTCAGCATGTGGCACAGGTACAGTGATGAGTGTTAGCATTAGAGCTGCAGCTCTGCCACTGTTACACTTTCCACATCTTTAACGTCTTCACAAGCAGATAGGACGGACAAGGGTTTGTTTTTCACGTGCTTGCACTTCCTGTTTTATGGTCACGTGGTCATCACACACACACACACACACACACACACACACACACACACACACTCACACACTCTCACACTCACACATTTTTTAAATAATCAAACCGAAAGATTGCATTGATCATTTCATTATTATTTTGGCAATAGTGACAATGATCAAGGCTGGATTGCAAACAAGTGACTGACTACATGCTCCAGACCCCCAGGGGGCCCTAAAGCTTCAGGTTTACTCAATATCATTTGTTTATGAAAACAAGTCATTGTGTGATAATGTGTGAGAAAACAATGTGGATAATCTAAAAAGTGGATCCTTTTAGGGTCGCAGGGGCTGGAGCCAACCCTTGCTCACATTGGAGCCTCGAGTCAGGAAGTGTTGAAATAACAGTTCATCAGATTGTTGATACGATTTGAAGCATTTTTTGCTTCCCGCCCTAAGAAACGAGCAGTTTTTCTGTGACGTATTAATTTTCACATGTTTAGAGTATTTCTATTTTTACTTCATTTTCCTTAGAAACCTCTGATGGGAAATATGTTTCACCGTTTCATGACATTCCACTTATAGCTGACCTGGAACAGGTAAGTCTTCTGCTTTTACTTTCTGTTTGATAAATTGAAATGTGATGACAGCTTTTTGATATTTATTCACACCTCAATAGTCTAACTAGCAGCTTATTCTTTTTTAACAGGACAATGATGTACCAGCTAAAAAACCCAAGCGTAATGAGAAAGAGGTATTGTCAAATTAATAAATTGTACATCATTTTTTCTTTCACCACAGCTTAAACTGGAATTATATTAAAAGATTTCCTCTTTACTCTCAGGTGCTCTTTAACATGGTTGTAGAGGTACCTCGATGGTCAAATGCTAAAATGGAGGTAAGATAGATTGATATATCTAGCATGATGATAGTATCTCACTTTGATTTATCTATTTCTACTACTGCTACCATGACTGCTGATAATGTTGAAATATTAACATTGCTGGTTTACACAGACTAATGTGTTAACTTTCATTCACCCCCGTTTCATTATACATTTCACAATAGTGTATTTCTATCTGTTTTATCAATTAGCTAGCATCGCTGTAGCTCAAAGTTATATTATTTACTGTTTGATATGCTGCTAAGTTAAGTGTTGAAATTAAAGCAACACTAAGTAACTTTACTTAGCAACAGCGCCCTCTGCAGTGAATATTCTGTTAGGCTCAGCCTGGTTCTGGCATTTTAAGCTGCTCCTCACAGGAGATTGTACCGCTCACTTAAGTTCAGTTGTGCAAGAACAGATATTCGGCTTGAGTAGTGGGAATGAAAGTGGCAAAACTGTCCCTATTACCAGTCAGTGTAGCGTCAAACTCAATTTTAAGCTTCTATTTTAAAATAAAAAATGCATGATGTTGCTTTAAATCATGTTTGTACGACACACAAATACATTTACCTTTGCTCATATTTGCTTCACTTTTTCAGATTGCTACAAAGGAACCACTGAATCCGATCAAACAAGATGTAAAGAAAGGCAAACTCCGATATGTTGCCAACATATTTCCCCATAAAGGATACATCTGGAACTATGGAGCTCTCCCACAGGTGAGGAGCATAGTTTATAAAGAATTTAATGTATATCTCTAATAACAATACAGCAATTGAATCACAATGATGAGTTTAATTTAATTATCATGGAATTTCAAATTCACGTTGAAGCTTATAGGTGAAATAGACTGATATTTTTATCGAATCAATTGTTCATCAATGTTTCTGAACTGTTCCCCTGAAAAAGACATGGGAGGACCCGAACCACACAGATGCAGAAACAACATGTTGTGGTGATAATGATCCCATTGACGTTTGTGAAATCGGGGCCCAGGTAAGACGGCTGTAGAGTATATAATGAATGACTGCATTTTAGGGTGTTATTTGCTTACTTCAGTAGACCTACCTTTTAACATTGAGTGACTGATTGACTATGTAATCTTGAATGACTATTTGTATTGTGTTGGCCTGTTCAGGTGTGTTTTCCAGGTCAGGTGATCCAAGTGAAAGTGCTTGGCATCTTAGCCATGATTGATGAGGGCGAAATGGACTGGAAGGTCATTGCTATTAATGCTCAGGACCCGGATGCCAAAAATCTAAACAGTGGGTGTGATCATATATCGAACATTCAGAAACTCCCGTATTGATCCATACTTTACCGAGAATAAGTTCAGTTCAGGAAACCTTGAAATTAGAATTGTATTTGGAATTTGCAAAACAAGACAATATAGTAGAAAGGTAATGTTTCATAATAAGTTACAAGTGTAAATGGAATTATTCAGAGCTTTTCAGAATAAGCTGCCCAACCTCATAATTTGAATATGGTATTAAAATGTAATATACTTGCAAAGCTCAGTAACTTCAGACAAACCTAGTCTGTGGAAATGTAATTGTCAACACTGTTTTGTTTGCATTCAACAAATAACATTGTGTGTGTTTGATCAATAATGTAAAATGTCAAATGTTTAATGCATTCCCCTTAATTGGATGCTTTTTTAATTTAACATTTTTACTCCTGTTTTATTTACTTCATCTGCAACCAACCTTGTTCTTGTGTAGTTAAATTCATTTTAAGCCTTTTAAATGTATTATTTGCTTGGGCATATGTAACCACTATTAACATCAGAAGGATATACATTCTCATAATGTAATCTTTTGTTAAGATGAAACTCTACTACTAAGTCCAAGTATCATACAGATTTATGTCTACTTTGTAACAACCATTCTGTAAATCTCGGGTCCCTCTATTTTGATTCTGTTCGATGTGTTACTGTTTATTTAAGGCATAGAGGATGTCCGCAAGAGCCGACCCGGTCATTTAGAGGCAACGGTTGACTGGTTCAGGAAATATAAGGTGCCCGATGGAAAGCCTGAGAACCAATTTGGATTCAATGGACAATTCAAAGACAAGGTACTGAGACCTTTGCAATACTGCTTAACAGTAATAAGCCTTGACAGTTGATATACGAGGAGTCTCTGATCTTTGCTCTTTTGTTAGGACTTTGCAGTTGAGATCATCAAGTCCACCCATGAGCACTGGAGGGCACTAGTGCAGAAGCAGACAAATAGTGAAGGGATTGAATGGTAAGGTGGTGGGGGTTAAGCCACTGCAGTGTATGCATGTGGCAAACATACAATTGGCTCTGTGATTGTCATTTACTGCACTAACTTTTTTTTATGGATAATCCCTTTTTTTTTTTTTAAGCAAAAATATCTCTTGCTGTGAGAGTCCTTTGAAATGCAGTGCTGATGAGGCCAGAGATGTCGTCCAGTCGGTGAGAACCTCCAAATGGTGTTAATGATGATAAACTAAATATAACTTTTAAAACTAAACAAAGTTTGGTTTTGGTAATTTAGTTTTTTTATTTTGTGACTCCTCAGGCCCCAACAGTTGGTAGCCCACATCCTGTGTCTCCAGAGGGTAAGTCAACAATGAGTGACTCACACTGAATTAGGTTTATTTAAGGTGTTATATAGTTTAATGCTCATACTTCTGATATTTTGTTTTGACAGTGGATAAATGGCATTTCATCTGAAACCCTTAAGACAATATGGAAACACACAGAAGCATCTAACATCCGATGAAGATTTATCTATATGCAGCTGGATTTATTTTTGGTAGGAACTCTTCCTCAGCTGTGTAAAGTGCCATCTACATTTGCCATCCAATCGTTTGCCATAGAGAAAAACATGATTAAAAAAAGATTATACCTAATACACTAACGGCACAAGCACGTGAAGATCTTTTGAGTTGAATTAAGGACGTGAAGCAGGTTGTCATATTGGACATCAGATTGTTTTTTTTAATTTCGAATTCTATAGGTTGATCACAAAATATTGTTCTCCTTTTGTTTTA